TAACCTCCTTGCGCCCACGCCATACAGCCGCTCATATGTCCAATAGGTAGCCTGAAGCGCTACCATATTGCCTGTTCCAACCTCTTAAATACACACGAGATCGTGTCGGGAACCTAGACGAAATGGAGGGCCCATACGTCCACAACACTCCGTGTCTCCATTTCCAACAGCGAGAAGTGTCGTTTCTCTGAGGAAATATTGTAGCTATTTGGATTTAGGGGGAAAAGGAGTGATTTTGAACTAGGAGTTGGAGTAGGTGGTGTCTGCGTCGTAATTTACTTCCAACTATTTCTGTAGCGAATCCAGCGGTTGGAATGAGTTGGGCCTGTAAGCGGTGATCCCCACCGGTTTCACCAGTCTTGTACCGGGGGACTATTCTCAACACCTGTCAGTGGTGTCCCCAACGAAACTCCAGCTCTCACTATAGAGTCTGCAGAGCCAAGATTGTGTAACAAAGTCCTCACTTCGACGAGGATTCCCAATCGCTTTCGAGGTCTGTATCGTCTTCAAATCTCGACACGTCTCCCTCACACCATTATCATGAAGATAAACACGATCAGGTCAGATGTTAGGGTCGAAGCCATTCTCATCACCAACTCTTGATCATGAAGGAGATGCCATCCGATAAGTTTCCGGAGCATACCCAGCATCCGATACGGCGATGGTAGATTGGATCAAGTCGGCCTCTAATGTTGCTAAGAAGGGAAATATTGTTGTATTATCCATGTTACTTACCATGGTACATGCTTTAGGTCACGCCATAGTAGATGCACGTGAATGAGGAACTAAATCGTGGGGTGTTTAGTGTTAGAGGCTAGCGCCTTGTTTAGTTATAACCGGAGTTTATCCGGTTCATTTATCGAGAAGTTTTAGAGTTGTAAAACTTAGAGAGGTCTTCGTGCGAATGTCACGTGAATCGTCATTAGGTAAAAGCGAATACAAGAATGAATTAATTAATTGTCTCCGTGCTACGAGTCCATCGTAGCACTGTAATATCTAGGAGGGCAAGACTGAACACCTGTACGCGGTGTTCTCTACGAACCTGGGAGTGAAATATTCTCCCAGAGCCAAGTTCAGTCAAATTTCGCAATATCAAAGAAGTTGGCCCACGAGGCAAAAATCCAAATTACTCATCCACATCGTTATTTCGCTCCCAACGAGTTTGACTCCTATCTTCGTCTCATCAAGGCTACAAGTACGACCAAGTACATCCTCATTCCAATGACCACACCACTCTTTGACCTTCTCTGGCCTCAGCTGGTCACCAAATACACGCCCACGCCGATATTTATACCCGAAGGAGGAAGCAAAGCGTGGCGCACAAATCTGGGAGACAGTTCTTTGGGATGTATGTGAGAGGGATCTGGACAAGTTGACAAGATGATGCGAAGGACGGATATAACCTCGAAGGGCATGAGATTCCGAATTTTGGCAAGGAGTTTTTGGAATTGGGCTTTGTGCGCGCCAAGACTTCGCTTGCGAGAGTGCAGCTGACACTATAAAAACAAGCCAAAGATGGAAGGTGTTGTGGTCCGCCTCCTGGTGGTGTTCTCCGGTATGGTTTGAGTAGCCTGGGCACCTACTCCACTTGGGAAGGAGATATCTCAGACCATATTTCGCGCGGAGAAAAGTTGAAAGATGATGGAGGCATGTCTGGATAACTCAGGGTTTTTGAGACGTTCCCCTGAGTGGGTATTCACGGATGAGGGTTGACTTGGGGTGAAGAAAAAGCCACCATAACTTCGCAGTGGTACTTGCAAATGAAATCCGAGGCATGAGTGCTCTTCCTTTACGTTGAATCATCTTTTCTGTACTTTTCTTTGATATTGTGTCATAGCTAGATAGCTGCATACGCAATTAAAATCTGATGCAAAAAAAAAAAAAAAAAAAAAAAAAACTGTAATATCTAGTTCTACCCTATTGATGCCCCTGATCATCATTACTAGTCTGACATGCCTGCACGCAGATCGTGCTTTCGCTTTTGGACTGGATCCAGACTTGTGCAAGCAGAAGTCTGCTTACAAGAGTACATGGCTTGGCTGGATTAAGGAGTTGTGTAAAGGATAACTCCTGCATAAATCCATACGCGACGCGCGATATTGAGTAGATATGCATGTAGTCTTCGTAGTACTTCTTTATACAGAATATAAACTAATTTACGACACACTTTCATGCGAATAGCTAATGTGATTAGTCCCTTCACATTTAGTGTGTAATGCATGTGTGGGTATTATGGACCAAACTAGAACTCGATAGAATAGAGATAATGGAATCAGCGAGAGACTGATGGACTGAGAGAGAACGAGCTGGTCATTTCTCATAGGAGAGAAATGATATCATAAGGGAATATTCTAGCACTAGGCTGTGAACAACACATCAAATCTGGAGCGAGATATAAGGAGGTCTCAACCTCCATTCATTTACTGTAATTAAGTTTCCTTTATTCGAGAATATAGAGTCAAGTCTTATATATCACGAGAACACACGCGACAGCGATTAGAGAGACCTGCTGTGAGCATAACTTCCCCAAGAGTATCTATCGTCCTGCTCCTATATATCCTAGTTAATATAACAAATATAGATGGATATGTGTACCTCACGAGGTCCGAGTGTCTAGACCTCGTCCTGTTGGGGCTGCAGGTTTTTGGAGACTTTTTCCCGCGCACGCGATTTCCCTTGCTACCATTTTTATTATTTTGAGTAAAAAGTTCCATGGGTAAGCACTGGGCTAATCGGCTATTGATCACAGGCAATGTAGCAGAGATCTTTTAAGTAACAAAAGAGGATAGGTGCAGTGTATGAGGTGTTGCCTGGGTAAGAGAGGGACCCAATGTGCTAGATAAGCATAAAGTAATGTGACACAATGAACACCTATACTCATACGGAACGAGTGGAATGAAAAAGTCCCTGATCATAAATTATGAGTACTGTTTCATGCATAAACCTATAGGTTTAGATATATAGTTAAAATATTATGAAATAGTAGTGCCTGTATTACAGATCACACGAAGAATCCGACAGACATGTGTGCGATTTGTAACTATTTTTTTGTGTGGATACTCAAGCAGTTCAGACGTTTACATATGTTTCCACTTTCACCCGGAAGCCGCACAGCGCTCTAGGCTGACTTTTCCATCAATTTGAAATCATGTACCCGAATTTCGTATCTTTTTTACTCCGATCCCAACTGTTCATTTCCTATGCTCAAATATGGTAGATGTGAGAGCTGGTGCGGCTAAATTCAGTGATTTTAACCCATCAAGAAAAGCGGAATCAACCACAGATAATGGAGATAGTGGGGTCTAAATAGTTCCAAAGCAACTCTAAATCGAACATGTGGCGAACCTGTTGAAAAAGTTTATCCTACCTATGATGCGTGAATTGGATCTAGATGACGCACTGAAAAACGACACCGACGAATTCAGGGCTTTCAATATCCACAAATGGGGCTGGGCTGAGATGACCCAGAAGAAATCTTCAATCGAGGAGAAAAAGATGGCGCTCGAGGGGGTTGTAAAGAAGAGCTATTCTATGATCAGTTTTTGGGATGTCGACACCACGGACTGGGTCATGGATTGTAGCTCCATAGATGACCAAGGTGGTGTTAGGAATTAGAATTGATGGAGCGATAGAACTGCCACCGGATGAGCTGTTTCCAGAGACTAAAAAGTACATCCAAGTAGCAAATGCGATTCGCGAAATGCAATATTACGATACTCAGGTGTCCGTCCACCCAGCATCCCAGAGAGATGCGGCGCTAGACATGCATCCGCATGCCGCCTTTCCAAATTTACGGTAAGATGTTCTTGTTGAGGTTGTGGTTGTGGGAGTCGCATTGAGGACAAGTACCCAACTTAGCAGAAATGCCAAAAATTACATCATAATTAAAGAGATTGAGAAAGCGAATGAGAATCGGATTCCCGGCCCAGAGATTAATAGAATTCGGTTGTTACATGACGAAATGAAACACCAGTGGTTGAAGAACAACTTCCACGACAGAGGATCAATCGTGGTCAGCCTCACATTTGAGGCTTTGCAAGCAGAGGTGGTTCGATACGACATTATCATTGACGCGATGTTGTTCGCCGCGCACGTGCATACATGTACTACAAGTCATTGGCTTAGATAGGACAATAAGATGGAACAATAACCGCGCAATTGTGGCCAACAGCGGCACAATTAAAGCAGGACTTCAACTCCAGCCATTGGGGAATTAAGCAGGCGCCTTGTGGAGATACATTTTTTTGCGGTGGGTGAGGTGTCACTTACCAAACCCGGGACTGTCCGAGGAAAATGATTACACGTGCGAGCTACGGCAATCAATATCGTTCGCGTAAAAAATTGCAGCGTGTCAACCAAACTGGGCCTGCAAGGGAATCGTGGAGAAGGCTCGGATGAAGCTTTTTATCTCGAATGGTGGAAGTATGGAGTGATAAACAACGGTGCCAGAGGGAATGGTCGGAATGATTGATGATCAGGGATTAAATTTGGTCACGAGTAAGTAGGCTGAAGGAGTAATAAGAGGACCAGAATGTCCGCGAAAGGAGGCCGAAGCTACGCTACAAATATCAATCGCACTATCAGAAGCGCAATCAACAGTCAACTTTTTAAACACCTCGAAACCCTGAACCGTATGAGGAGGTACCTCTTTTAACTTTCCACAATTTGAGTCTAACCCAAGGGGGATTCAACGAAATTTGCAAAAAGTTTAAATCATTAGGATCAAAGGAAATTCCTCAGCTTTGAGCTGGGTGGGTCCAATGAGGCAGCATACAAAGTCTTGTTTGTTTAAGGCCATTCCTTAACCTAAATGACTTACCATGTATAATGTTCTGTAAATAGATACCGACTGGGACCTTCATCAATAAAAATTTAATTCAATTCAATACATATGTGTATTTTTCATGAATTACTATTCGTATTAAAGACTTACTATACTTGAAAGGTGGAATTCTACAGGAATATGCACTCTCGATAATTCTAATTGCTCGTTACTATATTTAATCAGAGTTATCAGCGCTTTTTGGTTCAGATTCAGCGAGCTGATTCTCATTTTTCTTGCTGTAATCAGATGTTTCATTCATGTTGCTTGATTCCTGGGCGCCTGAATTAGAGGTATCATCGTCTGTCTCATTTTTTAAACTGGAATTTTCCTCATCGATGAGAGGATTGGACTTGACATGTTAGAAGTAAATCGTCAAAAGTACGATAATAATAGCTCACCTTATCTTTGATTCCTTCTCTCTCATCTTTATTGACTTTTGCTGGAGTCTGTGTGTTTCTATCATAGTCATCTTCTTCTTGGTTTGGCTTTTCAGTCCCAATGCTTTCAGGCTTGTCGGCTTCTATCCCTGATTCATGCGCTTCTCTAGACTCCTCTTCAGCAGATTCAGATTCGGAATCAACATCTTTTTCTATTTCCTCTTCACTCGTTATCACCTCAGTTTCTTCATCATGATGATTATGATCTGAAGTTTTTGATTTATTGGATAAGAGATACCAACAAGAAGGAATTGTTACTAATACAGCTCCGGCAGCCCTGGATAAAGTCAAATTATGACCACCTTTGAATTCATTTCGGAAGCTTACCACATAGCATCACTGCCAGTGTTTGGCTGTGCGTGTTGGCCGCTTGCATATTGTCGCCGAGTAGTTTGATGGATCGGTCGCGCGACTGCTGTACGCGCAAGTCGGAAGCATGATCGGAGAGATATTGTTCTTGAAACTGCCATTTCAGAGGTTCTAAAGTGGTGATCTTATTACAGCGGTTGTAAATTGTATAAATTCTTGAATAGTCTATTTCGGGATATAATTGCTAGATTGCTTTGCATACGCTAGGTCTCATAAAGGTGCAAATCTGGTTCAGGTATTAATGTTCAAAGTTGTACCTCAGATTTGGCACAGACAAAATTAATGTCAAAAATGAAAACGACAACGGTGTCCCCGGACCGATTCTTCTAACGGCCTAGCTGCTGATTCCCCACTCAAGGGCATTGGGTTTTGCAGGCAGAATAAGTTGAGCAAAGAAAGCATTGCATAGCAATCGTGAGAGAGTTTAGCGGCAACAAGGTAAAGTTTTGTCGTTTATTTAAACAAGCTTTCAGTCACTATCAGATTGTTTACACGCCAGGCCTGCCCCTTCTACTTTCGGAAGAATAGGCAAAGTTCGCCAGGATTGAAGCTTTATCTTAATGATCTTCCGAAACAACAGAGCTCTTAAGCCTGTAGGCTAGCAGTCCACGATCTATCGTTATTTTCTCGCCGCAAACTAAAAACGCGCATGAAATAGGAAAATTCACAATGTCGGCTCAACTTTCAGCAATTTCTACTGCTCAAACTGTAGCCCAATTACTTCCGAAGCTTCACGATGTGGACCCCGACCATCGATTCATGTCTCTAAATGATTTATTTCAGGTTCTTACTATTAGCAAACAAGATCTTTTAACTGGTGATTATGTAATTGCGGCAAGAGCAGTTGACGGAATTATCAAAACCTTAGATGATCAGAATGGAGAGGTGCAAAACCTGGCGATAAAATGGTATTAACCAAGAATGGAACTTTATAACAGAGAAGAGGCTAATTATAAAAAGTCTGGTTCCTCTAGTCAGCAAGATACCATCTGGGATACTTGTCCCATTACTTGAGAAACTATCTACTTTAACAACACAGAACTCTGTTGATAGATCTATACCCGCAATGGCTTTGAGAACTGTTGTGGTCACATTAGCGCGGCCCATCGCCGGCGTTACCCCATCTAGGGAGGCAGAAGACGCTTATTCTGCAATTAGCAGGGTTTTAATTCCAAGGCTTGTTGGTCAAGATTCAGGAAAACTAGATTCATCATCAAATACAACAATCCCTGGAATTCTAGATTTTGAAGTTAATACTGATATTGGTCCTGAAAGTGTCGATGTTCTCATTGAGGTAGTTAGGTGTTTCGGTCCGCTGCTAAAAGAGTCTGAAGTAATGGCGTTGCAAAAACTCCTGGTTTTCATTCTAAATTCAGAAAAAGCTAGTCCAGCTGTTAAAAAACGAGTTGTTATGGCGGCATCTATTCTTGCTATTTATTTAACAGACGATGGGCTAAGTGGGTTTATTTATCAACTTAAATCAAGTTTGCAAAATCCCCAGCTACCTTTGGTCCAGAGAAAGATCTATATTACGATACTTGGCTCTATGGCTCGTTCAATTCCGACTAGGCTAGGAATATTTCTCAAGACTCTTGCACCATATGTGTTAGCAGTGCTGAATCAGGATGAACAAAGTGAACAGCTCAATGGAGTCGATGATGAAGAGCCAAACCAAGAAAAAGAAGACGTTCGCGAGGCTGCAATTCTGACCTTAGAGGGCTTTCTTTCTTCTTGTGGGGGTGAAATGCGCGAATATACGGGTGATGTGACTGCTGCTCTTCTTAGATTTCTCAAGTATGACCCAAACTACATCAATAACGAAGATGAGGAAATGGGCGACTCTCAGGACAGCGATAGTAGCGACGACGAATTTGATGATGCTGACGACGAATTTGAAGCCAACATTGATTTTGATGATGATGATGACTCTAGCTGGAAAATCCGAAGATGTGCTGCAAAAGCACTATATACATTTATTTCAACACGTGGAAGCGGTGATTTACTCGATGATGGCACACTATATTCAAAAATAGCTCCAGTCCTAATTCAATGCTTTAGTGAAAGAGAGGAAAATGTGCGTTTGGAAATTATCGCCACGATGACATCTCTTATTAAAAAGACCGGGGAGACAGTGTATATGGATTACTCATTAGATAATGACTTGGTACCTATTAATAACCTACCTTTGTCACGGAAGCGAAGGAGAGAAAGCAGTACTAACATTTTTGATGCAAAGAGTCTTCTTTTCATGTCTACCGGACTTACATCACCAGTCTTTGAACCGATCCCGACATCTGGGCCGCGTGCCGACCTAGCGAGACAAACTCCAGCTATCATGAAGGCGTCAACGAAGTTGCTTAAAGGAAACTCCATTCCAACAAAACAATCTATCATAAGAATCCTAGATGAAATTGTCTCAGCCCAGAATGGTGGTCTTTCTGAATATTTTGGCCTTCTTGTTGATCCTATTATCGAGTCAATCAAGACTACTTCAGGCTCGACAGGATCTTCAATTGTTACAAGCGGAACAGCAACAGCAACAATTAATAGTTTAAGGATAGCGGCCCTTCGATTGCTCGGAGATATTACTTACACTCATTCTTCTAGTGTACTGCGTCCTTATTTGTCCAAGATCGTACCTGGTGTCATATCAGCTGTAAATGACAAGTCATACAAGGTCTCTATCGAAGCAATCACAACAGTCGAACAATTAATTAAAGCTCTAACACCACCGAGGTCAAACTTAGACTACCCAAAAAATCAATTCGAACTCAAACAACTCTATGATGTTATAGTTAGTCGCATTTCTGCTAACGATGCTGATCTAGAAGTGCGCCAATGCGCAATACAAGCATTCGGTATACTTTTAGCCCGAACGGCTAACAGGGAAGGTTTTAATTTCCTTTCATCAACTGATTATAACTTGGCATTTAACCTTTTGAGTGAAAGACTAAAGAACGAGACCACTAGATTTGCGGCTGTACACGCTATTGATACAATTGCAACTCTTGCTGCTAGAGAAGATCGACTTGAGCCCTCATGGGTCCGAGAAGTTTCTTTGGAGCTTTCAGCACAATTTCGGAAAGCCGATAGGTCTTTGCGCGGAGCTAGTTTAGGAGCTTTAAGAAATCTGATCGCCATGCCATCAACAGCTTTGGCACTTGATAAGCTGACGGTTGAAAGCCTTGCAAGCACACTTATGCCTCTCCTTTCACCAGGGGATCTTCACCTCCTCAGTCCAGCCCTCCACGTATTTGCAACCCTAGTCAACTGTGAACCAGGCCTGGTTGCTGGTGACTCATTAAATTTTGCCATTTGTCAACTACTGAAATCAAACATTGGAAGTACTGCACTCGAAGCACTACTTATACTTGTTACCAGTATTGGTATTAAGGGTGCTGGACAAAAGCTCATGCTTGGCTTATTAAAAGACGTGAATACTAATGGAGATCCGGCTATCGTTGGAAAGGTAATTGGAACTCTATTGGCGTATGGGGGGCCGTCTGTGGGAGTTAGCATCGATAGCTTTTTGGCAGAAAGTGTTAATTCTGATTCTACGGACCCCCAAAAATGTCTTGCTGTAGCTGTTTTAGGTGAAACGGGCCTTCTTCTAGGAAAAAATTCAAATTTATGTACAAGTACATTTACTGTACAGTTCTCTGCGGCATCTGAAAAAGTTCGTTTAGCATCTGCAGTTGCACTTGGTCGTGCAGGCGCTGGAAACATACCAGATTATCTGCCTGAAATCCTTAGGATTATGAGTGGAGGTGGTAATACGGAATACTTACTGCTACATTCTATCAAAGAGATAATTCAACAAGCAAGCAACAGCGGTGTTGACATTAGTGCATATATACAGCCTTTGTGGGATCAGCTAATCAGCGCTTCACAAGTTGAAGATAACAAAGCTATTGGAGTAGAGTGCATCGGAAGGCTTACCATCTTGGATCCAAAAACATATATTACTGAGCTGCAGGTAAGTGACATAAATCTGCAACGCACTCTCTCTTATACTTCACAGGGTTATCTCTCTGATTCCAATGCCTCAGTTCGGGCTATGGCGATTCAAGCGATTCGCTATACTCTCGCTGACGGTGATGCAGCATTCGATAGAGTTCTGATCGAGTCGCTAGTAAAAATGCTTAGTACTATGCTTCAAGATACAGAGACAGAGAACCGACGCCTAGCGCTTACAACTCTCAGTAGTGTCGCGCATAACAAACCTGCCATGATCATATCTAATTTAGGCGAGCTCCTACCATTCGTTATACAAGAATCTATCGTCAAACCTGAACTTGTCCGTGAAGTTCCAATGGGACCTTTCAAGCACAAAATTGATGATGGTCTTGAAGTTCGAAAGAGCGCTTACGAGACATTATATTCACTAATGGAAACGTCGTTCTCACGAATTTCAATTCTAACCTTTTACGACCGTATTCTTGCTGGCCTCAGAGACCAACATGATATTCGAGCGCTTTGTAATCTTATGCTAACGAAACTTGTGGTCCTGGATCCGGAAGAAACAGCGCGAAGGCTGGACAGTATTGCAGAAGCATTTAGGAGTATCTTGAGTGTAAAGCTGAAAGATACTGCGGTCAAGCAAGAAATAGAGAAACAGGAGGAGGCGATTAAAAGCGTACTTCGTGTGGGTTTGTTATTACACAGCAGCATTCCAAACGCAAGTCCCGCCTTAGGATCTGTTCAAGTCAACCAAGGCTGGAGGACATACTGGGAATGGCTGGAAAAAGACTTTGGGACACATTTGCGTAAGCTAAAGGAAGAAATTAAACTAGTTGAAAACTAGCTAGAAAACCAAGACCGTTCAGACCATTTCTACGGACAATATTTTTGAAACTATGAGCATAGAAACTAAAAAGTCTTGATTTAGTTGAGCCAGTGGAATAATTAAAATGGGTATAGGTCTTGCCTATTCAAGAAGTTCGACTTGGTGATGTGAGCTGATATTTAGCTTGAAGTGTATTTGTGTATTTAGCGCACCGTGACATCGAGAATCGTGCTGTTTTATACTCAGTTTTTTGATAAAATCGAGTGGCACACGTGAAGTTATTCATCAAGATCTCCCCATTACTAAAACTTAAATCAAACAAACTCCTTTTTATCTTTTGTTCCTTCCCAACATATCAAAATTTGTAGAACGCCGTGCCGCTAGAGTTGCAAGCGAGCAGGTTCCACTTTCACCTAGCCTTTTACTATTCATGATAACGAGCTGTAGCCACCTACCACACCAGGCGTAACACCTTCGAGGTCAACGGCCTCAACAGTGCTTTGGATAGCTCGCGTTTCATTCACCAAGTTACTGAAATACTTTCTTGCAACCTCACTTTCACCTCTTACCTTTCTTGTCTCCTCTTGCTTAATTCCTAGTTGTTCAACACTTCGTTGTAATCCTACCCGTAAGTTATCTGCAGGGAATCGTAAAACTTTTCTTACAGAGCTACTGATTCGATCGCTATTTGTATGCACAAAGTCCATGGATTGAAGTTGTGTGGATAACTTAGCAGAAAGACGTCTAGGGAGAGATTTAGGAACTAGAGAAAGGGTGTAATATGTTGCAGCGATGACTATTATCAGAATTAGAATCACTATTACTAAAGTCGAGGGGAAACTCACCAGAAATAAGAGCACCAGGAATGATAAGCCGACGTGCGTTATCTAACCCTATAGCTTTTATTGTTGCCAGTGTTCCGTCAACCCAGCTCCAGCCTCCTAATAGTTTCCCACTCGCGGCGGTAACGACTGTTAAAGCGAGACCAGTACTTGCCATTTTCTCTTGTTGATGCATGATACTATTCCAATCAAAAAAGTCCCAGATCTCAGTTTCAATTTCTATTTGCTTAGCTACAAGGTCTCTCTTTCGTCGGAACATTACATCCGATCGGAAGTTTAGGTCTGAGTATTCATCACCTAGGTGTAGAAGTCCTAACTGTTTTATTGCATAGACACCCTGAACAGTTTGCCTACGTGCATGCTCTTCGCAAGATGTCAATGAGACTGAAATTTGCGACAGCATAGCTTCCTTCAGATCATCTGCATACTGAAATGAAGCCCATAATCCTGGATATGAGATTCCTAGATCTGAGTTGGCAGTTTGAGATAAGGTTTCCGAAAGCGTAAATTTTGTATGATCGTAGATTTCTCTACAAGTCTCATCAATAGTACGATCAATGTCATCGCTAACTTCAGCTTTTGCTTTTTTGCTTCGTTCAAGAAGAGGTTCGATTTGATCAAGCTCATGGATAACTCGATCTAATTCTGATTGTGCAACCTCAAGGTTAACACTTGCCAACGTGTGGACATCGCCAAGAACATTGAGAAGGTAAGTTTTTGCCGGTGCTAACTTTGAGCGGGCGCGTTTTTCAAGTACGAACCGGCGGAGTGATTGCTCAAGGTTTTCAAAATCCCTTACTTTTTCTTTCTCTTTCCCTTTACCCGTCCGGCTTGAACTTTGGTCATCATTGTCTGAGTCATCTCCATTATCTTCACCAGGTAAATTCTTGCTATCACTAGGATACATGTTAGGCGGCATAGAAATCGTCGGGACTGCATTGCTAGAGACAAAATGAACAAGTTCCACATTCTCCTTGAAAGTTCGAGGGCTTAGGCCTGCGATCTGCTTGAGAATCATCTTTTGACAACGCTCCTTGTCTCTAATATTATCATAGCCATTTACTACAATAAATATGTATGCCTTTTCAGCAGCAGCAGCCCATATAAACTCTTGAGCTGTAATAGTAAAGTGATTGGCAGCTGAAACAACAAAAACTACCACATCAATTTCTTCTTGACGAGCAAATACGGCAGTTGTTTTGGTTGTATCCATATTTAGTCCCGGTGCGTCTATAATCGAAATATCTACGATTCCATTGTTGAGTAATGATTCATCAATAGTTCGTATGTCCTTTACGTATACTTTACATTGCGTGTATACATCATTAGAGACAACAAGCTTCTCTAGATCTGAGAGTTTAAACACGTCATATGATCTTTCATCATGTCGGTTATAGATAACATTCTTGTGCACTGCATGAACCTCTTCAACTCCGCTATTCTCCTTCGCATCCAGTACCTCACAAAAGATACTTGTGCAAGGCTGCTGATCTTCAGGGAGTATTTTTCTTCGTAACAGAGCATTGCAGAACGTCGATTTTCCGGCATTTAAGTCACCGGTCACAAGCACCTTGCTGCTAGTATCGTCAATTCTTTCACGCAACGCATGCAGATGTTTAATACTAGAGCTTATTTTGCCATCTAGTAGGCTAGCGATGGAACCTTTTTCTAAAGAATGTACCAGCTCAGTTTGGTGTAGAGAACCTAGTTTCAAGTCGAGCTTGAGTATAGAGAACTCTTGAGCAATCTGAGGAGTAATTAATCTAGGCTCTATTATTGCTTTGTTATCTGCAACGCTACTGGATTCAGCCTCTGTAATTCTCTGATCCTCAAAACTTGTTTGAGCTCTCTTCATAACGTTAGGTCGAGGAAATCCTGTATCGTACGCGTATATTGATCCTGGGCTGGGATAATTTTTCTGTGATTGTACTGCTTCGGCACGTTGAGCTGAGGGATAAGTTGCAGGCCATTTGGAATTCATCTCTTGAAGAGTCTGCAAAGTTTCTATGACGCGGGTTATCGATCGTGCAAGTGTGACACGATGTTGATTGTACCATAGTTGTTGAATCGCACTTGCTTGCGTTCTCCTATCATTTGCATGCGGTTCGAGAATTCCCGCATATCGTGGCGGAATGACAGAATTGTTTAGTGATTGATCAAGTTGTGGATGGTGTTCATTTGTTATATTGATATTTTCCACTGGGTTGTTATCCATTAGTGATTTTAGTTGAGCAGCGCACTCCGAGTCAACCCCATTCCCTACTGTCATGTAATGATGGTTAGAAGAGTGTGCGGCAGACTCTTCACGGTCAATATCCTTGCCCTTTGTGTTTCTGAATTCTCCCGGCATTTTCGTAGAAGGCGAGCATATGGTATCAGTACTTAGGGTAGATTGATGGTTATTATAGGCCCGATGACTACGAGATATCAAGCTATGATGGTGTTGAATAATATTGCTACAAGACTAGTTGGTCTTGCGTCAATCTAACTGTTCACGTGCGTTATAAAAATAAAATAAATAACTAGCATTGCCCCAGCACGCATAATCAACTGACTCCTAGAGGAAGCATTGTTGTAGAACCTCTAAATGGCTGGAAAGGAATCGTATATGGATTAAAATTATTTGAAAAAACGAAGTGATATGATAGACAGATTCTAGATCGCAAGTTAATTTATCACTTGGACAAATAGATAATTTGAAAAGTCCTTCCAGGCTTAGCTGGGCGGCGCAAGGCTCTCATGCCAAGTGCTTTTTGCTAACACGATTTATCCAGCAATATAAACAGAATCGAACATGGATAAACACTTTAAATTCGGCTTATTCATTCATCATGCGCATGATTTCATCCATGTTTCCTCCCGGGAATATGAAGGTTGTACGTTTGTTCAAGGTCTCCATGAATCTCTCGATGAAATACTACTTAAAAGCAGAAATTTAGCCACCAAAAAATCTGTATCTCTGATTTTTCATGGAGATGGCGAACTAAATCAGGATAATGAACTATATGTATTTATTTATAATATTTAATATCGAGCCCGCGCACAGCAAGTGAGTTCCTCACGTACCGGTTAGCCCAGTCCAAGTTAAAGTATCCGACGTTGTGCATCGGTTAGCCCTTCATAGGCTGAGCTAACCGGCATGGGGCTTTAAAGCACTGTTTTATTTTAATGTTTTTGTCCTAAGCTAATGCTATTTTTCCACAACGGGTCAAAGACAGGTGGAGCCGGCGAGGATCACTGCGTGCAGGCCCAACTCATTCCAACCGCGTGAACTTCCACATAAATGGTGGTGTTAACAGCAAATCAAAAACCAAAATCAAAAATCAAATTTAGAAGAAATCCCTGTAGGTCCGGATCCCGCGCTTCTCGCTCGTTCCCTTCCCTGTCACATCTTCCAAGGGACACTTTCTGACCTTCGCTGAGAGCAGAAGATGAGCTCGCAGGCACCCTTTCTCCATCTGGTGTCCTACTGTTAGTGTGTTGAAGCCTCGACGACTTCACTGAGGCTCGCCGTAATCTTAAACCTCCTCTTCGGATCCCAGAATCCCAAAACCCGATCCGTCCGACATATAGACGTCATTCTTTGAGCCGTGCATCGCCTGAATGGCTATTTCGGCTGCAGTTTTGATTCGAGCATAATCGGCGTGATTTTTTTGCTCGGCTTTGCGAATTATCGCAAGCTGCTCTTTTTTCACCGGGCCAAACTTGGTGGGTCTGGCTTTGCAGAACCGTGAGTTCAATCGATGAGGTCCACTACAGTTTCGGCACCGTATGGGGGCTTTGCACTCCGTTTCCGAGTGCATTTTTGATCCGCAGTTCCAACAAGCCGGAGCGCGGGAGCAACCGCGAGAGGCATGGAAGCCAAGACATTGTTTGCTCTGAACTATACTTCGACGAGGTTGGAAGAGCTTTGCAGCTCCGGATTCATCGAAGAGGCGAAATTTAGGTCGGAGCGTGGACTCGTGAGGGAAGAGCGCATGCCAGTTCTGGTATGGCGCCCCAGGTTTGCTGGTCCCGTGAGGACGAACAAGAAAAGGAACTGATTTGGTCACTCGACTGACTTCATCAGCAACCATCTTTGCCGTCACGGCAATGGGGCCAGCGAGAGTTCGAATTGTCTCTGGGACGGTGGCAATTTGCATGGCAACCAGATTTGATGCTGGTTCCAGTTTGATTTCAGATTCGCTCCGTGATGTGGAGGAATCTAGGAGCTCTTTTCGAGGGAGTTCATCCTTTGCGGTTATTGCAAAGCTGGTCTTTACCCGCTGAACCAACGTGATATTGTTGGCAGCGGTTCCCAGCGCCCGAGACATCGCTAGCCTTACACCAGCTGGGGAGAGGAGACGGTGGGGATGGTTATATTGAAGGCGTAGAAAAAGTCGTGAATCGACCTTTTCACTCGAGTTGGTACTTTTTCTTTCTGGGCGGGCGATGCTGCCTTTTTTGTCGATGGCCCAGCGCTGCTAATTAGGCCTGCTCGAGCTACGGTGGCCCAAGTTGTCTTTGGGGCCGAAGCCTGGGTTTTCGTAGGGTTTAGTACCCTAATTTCTGGAGCCCTCGGTGGGAGAGGGTTTGCGGGGCGAGCAGGAAGGACTGGTGGTGTGCTTCCTGGACCAGATTGAACGAACTGGCCAATGGCTGCTCCTAGGTAGACTTTAATACCGTCTACGAATTCTTTATTATCGCCGATCGAAAGAGGCGAAAGTGCTGCTTAAACTCTGTTTATCGCAGTCGAGCAGATGGCGAGGCGGGCCGTAATTTACGTCGTCCCTCGCTTTTCGGCTTCCATCACGATTTGTAGCTCCAGAGGAAACTCCATTGCTGATGTCGAAGCTGTGCCTATGAGAGCTGGCACAGCGAATTTTCTCGAAGACTTTTCTTCGTATTCTGTCATCTTCTCTCGGACGACTTCCTTTCCTTGAGGTGCTTGCCTCTGGGGCAAGCTCGGTGGGAGTTTTGGCCTCGGAACCAATTTTTGCTGACCTGACGGGCTCAGAATTAGTCATCTCTTTATCGGGAAGGGTTGGGGACTTCCCTTCGATGAAGGCCTCGCTCGCAAACATGCTTGAAAGTTTTTGAGCGAGGCCTGGTGTTTTTGCGGCAGCCCTCGGGCAGTCTTTCGCGGTGTCCAACATTGCGTTGAGGAGCTTTTTTCGAACAGGTGGCATAATAAAAATGCCAGTAACCCGATCACAAATTTTTGAGGGAATGCGATGAGCAAGAAAGGGAGGGAGAGGAGAAAAGTGAAGATTCGAAAATTGGAATTTCAAAAATTTGTGGTTGTTTTTTGTTTTGTTTATTTTGTCCTAAGCTAAAGCTATATTTTCCACATTGGGTCAAGGACAGGTGGAGCCGGCAGGGTTCCCTGTAATCTTTCCTACAGCCTAACTCGTTCCAACCTCGTGAATCGCTGCCAAAAGTGCAGCTGATTAGACAGAAACGAAAAATCAAGAAAATCAAAACTCCGATATACCAGAAGATTCCTCCATCATGGACCCAGTCAATTTGCTCCTCACACGTTCCGTCGTCCGTCACACCTTCCAAATGACAAATGTACTTAATCTCCGCTGAGAGCAGTAGATGAGTTAGCAGGCACCTTTGGTCCAGCCGGTATCCTGCTAATAGTTAGTAGATGCCCCAGAAGGTGACATCGTCGAGATTGCTGTGTCCTCAAACTTCTTCTTCAGATCCCAGTACTCCGAAACCTGTTGCCTCGGCCATTGCGACATCCTTCGCCGCGGCGACGATCGCCTCTTCGGCCTTTTTGGCTGCGGCCCTAGCTCCAGCCGCCTCTGTGAACTTCCCTTGCTCGAGGTGGCGAATCCGCGCGAGCTACTCTTTGGTCACCGGCCCAGACTTGGCTGGCCCGAGAATCCGATCGATGGGGTCCCTCACAGTTGCGACAGTTTGTGAGGGTCCTGCACTCGGCTTTCAAGTGCATAGTTGATCCGCAGTTCCAGCACGCTGGAGCGCGGGAGCAACCACAGGTGGCGTGGAAGCCCAAACAGCGTTTAGACTGTTCAACTTGGCGACAAGGCTTGTGAATGGTAGCCATACAAGACTCGTCGAAGAGGTGGACGCCCGCACGAGGGGCGTTGTCCCGCCTAAAAAGGGAATGCCAGTTTTGATACGGTGCCCCAGGTCGACATATCCCATGAGGTCGGACCTGGATTGGAAGCGCGCCGGTCGTACCGAGAATCTTGGCAGAGACCCAGCTAGCATCGACTGCCCTAGTACCGCACACTGTAACTATACTTACAGGTACGTTCGGTATCTATAAGGCGACAAGATCCGAAGATGCCTCGAGTTTGAAGTTTTGACTCGCCAGCTTCGAAGAGCCATCTAAAGTCTCTTGTCTTGTTTTTTCGTTCTTTGCTAGCATAGCAAAGCCCGTTCTCACTCGGTGGAGTGAGGTTATTTCTTGGTTAAAGTAGCTGAATGTATACTCTAACTAAGTTATCACGCTGCTTGTGGACAGTTTTCGCCACGGGTGGTCCTTTTCAAGGCGAAGGAACAGTCGCTTATCGACTTTCGCCTTGGGGTTTTCTTTTTGTTGGGCTTTGGCCGCAGATCGCGGCACAGCCTTCACAGTTGGGACTGCTTTTTGTTGCAGTCCGTGTCTGGCAACCGTGGCCCAGGTGCTTTTCACAGGCAGAACTGGGACGACGGGAGTTGTGTTACTCCTGGCTTCGGGAGCCCTTGGGAGAGGGTTCGTCGGGCGAGAAGGGAGAACGGGTGGCGTAGTGGCCGGGCCCGTGGCCATGTATTGCGCAATGGCGGCGCGTAAGTAGACTCTCATGGAGTCTACGAATTGTCTATTTGACCCGTTGGTCAAAGGGAGGAGGGTGACTTCGACGCCAAAGATGGCGGCGGAGCAGAGGGCTAGATTTGTCGCTGTTTCGGCGGCGCGTCGTTGTTCGGCTTCGACAATTGGTCGAAGTTCCGGAGGGCAATCTGCTTTCGTGGCAGCTTTGGGTGCAGCGTTCTCCGACGGTTTTGAGGTGGTCGGAGGAGGTTTGGACGATTCTCCAATCCCGTGGGGGACGGAGGCTCGTTGAGGAATTTCCTCAACAATTCCGACTGATCCGGTCATGTCAGTATCAGGTTTAGTGACGGCGGGGAGGGCTTTTTCCTTCCCTTTGATTTAGACCTTGCTCATCTCCGCGCATTTCGGAGACTGGGCAAGGCCAGGTACTTGCGCGAGAGCCCTCGGGCGGACTCTCGTGTTGTCCAACTTGGCGTTGGGACGCTTTTTTCGAACAGGTGGCATGGTGAAAATGCCAGTGACTCGATCACAATTTTATGATAGAATGCGACGAGCGCGAGAGGAAGGGAGAGGGAGAAAATGTG